TAAATCAATGTGTAGAGTAGTTATCCTTTAATAAAGAGTGATAGCCACATTGTAAATCAATGTATAGAGTAGTTATCCTTTAATAAAGAGTGATAACCACATTGTAAATCAATGTATAGAGTAGTTATCCTTTAATAAAGAGTGATAGCCACGTTGTAAATCAATGTATAGAGTAGTTATCCTTTCATAAAGAGTGATAGCCACGTTGTAAATTAATGTATAGAGTAGATATCCTTTCATAAAGAGTGATAACCACATTGTAAATCAATGTATAGAGTAGTTATCCTTTAATAAAGAGTGATAACCACATTGTGAATCAATGTATAGAGTAGTTATCCTTTAATAAAGTGTGCTAACCACATTGTAAATCAATGTATAGAGTAGTTATCCTTTAATAAAGAGTGACAGCCACGTTGAAAATCAATGTATAGAGTCGATATCCTTTCATAAAGAGTGATAGCCACGTTGTAAATCAATGTATAGAGTAGTTATCCTTTCATAAAGAGTGATAGCCACGTTGGATTTACAACGTGGCTATCACTCTTTATTAAAGGATAACTACTCTATACATTGATTTAAATGTATAGAGTAGTTATCCTTTAATAAAGAGTGATAGCCACGTTGTAAATCAATGTATAGAGTAGTTATCCTTTAATAAAGAGTGATAGCCACGTTGTAAATTAATGTATAGAGTCGATATCCTTTCATAAAGAGTGATAACCACGTTGTAAATCAATGTATAGAGTAGTTATTCTTTAATAAAGAGTGATAACCACATTGTGAATCAATGTATAGAGTAGTTATCCTTTCATAAAGAGTGATAGCCACGTTGTAAATCAATGTATAGAGTAGTTATCCTTTCCTAAAGAGTTATAGCCACGTTTTAAATTATGTATAGAGTAATAGATTCGTTTTGAGTTTACTCACTGGTTTTTATTACGAGTTACATCTTTTACAGTAAGTAATTTTTGTTTTTAAAACAAGTTCGACGTTTCAATCACTGGTGCGAGCTACCTCACATCTTATATCTGACTATCTCCACATGTGTACAAATGACGATCTATTTCACATCTAGCATCGTACTATCTCCACATGTGTACAAATGACGATCTATTTCACATCTAGAATCGTACTATCTCTACAT